TCAGCTCACTGCAACCTCCACCTCCCGGGTTCAAGCAGTTCTCCTGCCTCAGCCTTCCGAGTAGCTAGGATTACAGGCATGTGCCACCATGCCCAGCTCATTTTGTATTTTTAGTAGAGACGAGGTTTCACCGTGTTAGTCAGGATGACCTCCATCTCCTAAGCTCAGGTGATCCGCCCGCCTCTGCCTCCCAAAGTGCTGGGATTATAGGCGTGAGCCACCACGCCTGGCCCATCTCTATGATTTAAAAAAAAAAACAAAACAAATTAGCTGGGAATGGTGGTGTGCACCTGTAGTCCCAGCTACTCAGGAGCCTGAGGCTAGTAGACCACTGGAGCCAGGAATGTGACGCTGCAGTGAGCTCTGATTGCGCCACTGCAATCAGCTCGGTGACAGAGTGACACCATCTCTTAGAAAGAGAGAGGTAGAGAAATCTTGCCTGCCTGACTACTTTCTGTTGCCACCAGATTTCTGAGACGAGCACAGCTCTGTGGATCAACACTTTCCTCGGCGTGTCCACACTGCTGGCTCTCTGGACCCTGGGCATCCTTTCCCGGCAAGCCAGGCTACACCTGGGTGAGCAGAGCATGGGAGCCAAATTTGCTCTGTTCCAGGTAACTACGCCCTGGGGGAGAAAAGATGTTTCATAACAGACCTACAAATGGTTGGGGTTAGGAGGTGAGACCAACAAAGGCTAAAAGTGGGCCCGGACATTTTTTTCATAAGTCTCAGATCTCCCAAGAGATTTGGAAAATGCTTCCTGTGCTTCCCGCTTTTTGTCTTTCTGTGTTGGAATTGTTTCCCAGGGCTGCCATGACAAAATACCACAAACCAGATGGCTTGAAACAACAGGCACGTCTTGTCTCATGTGCTGCAGTCTAGAAGCCCACAGTCAAGGAGCCCGCAGGGCCGTGCTCCCTTTGAGCCCTGTGGGGGTCTCCAGCCTCTCTTGTTTCCGGTGGTTCCCAGCGGAGTCCTGGGGCTCCCTTTGAGCCCTGCGGGGGTCTCCAGCCTCTGTTTCCGGTGGTTTCCAGCAGAGTCCTGGGCGACCCTTGACCAGCATTTGTGTCCTCCAGTTTTTGCCTCCATTGTCTGATGACATTCTCCCCATGTGTTTCTGTGTGTCTTCTTTTTTTTTGGAAACGGAATCCGGAATCTTGCTCTGTTGCCCAGGCTGGAGTGCAGGAGTGCGATCTTGGGTTGGGCAATTCTGCTGCCTCAGTATCCCGAGGAGCTGGGATTACAGGCACGCACCACCACACCCAGCGAATTTTGTATTTTTAGTAGAGACAGGGTTTCACTATGTTGGCCAGGCTGGTCTCACACTCCTGACCCCAGGTGATCCACCCGCCTTGGCCTCCCAAAGTGTTGGGATTACAGGCGTGAGCCACTGCACCCGCCTGTCTCGTCTATTTTTAGGACACCAGTCAAATTGGATTAAGGGCCTACCCTATTCCACTACGACCTCATCTTAACCAATTACATGTGAAACAAACTGTTCTTAAACAAGGTCACAAGTACTTGGGGGCAAGACTTCAACATAGCTTTTTGGGGGACACAATTTCACCTATAACACGTATGTTAACAAACCTTAAATTTGTCTACCCTTGCTTCTTCCTTTCCTTTTCTACCTATGACTTCCTAAAATCCTATAATCCATCAACACCAGCAGCAGCACTAGCATAGCTACAGGAACTACCCACACCACCTGCGAGGCACTTTCACACATTACACTTAAATTTTCACAACCCTAGGAGTCATTATTATTCCCATTTTACAAAGGAAGAAACAGACCTCGAGATGTTCTTGCTCAAAGGCACATACGGGATGGGGCTAGAATTTACACCCAGGTATGTCTGACTCCTGCACACATCTGTCTTCTCCTTACCCTGACCTTCATCTTCACACCGCTTCTGAAAATTCTCTCAAAGGCATGTTTGCCCGCCTTCTACGCGCTGCATTCTCTAACCCCAAAGATGACTTTTCCACCAAATGCAATGACTTCTAGCCCAGTCTTGTTCTTCTCTCTCCATCCTGTCTCCTTGCTGGTCTTCTACTCCCAGGGCATAATGACTGCCCTACAGTTAACAGAGTGAATTCACATACATTCTCATTTGATCTATGGAGATGCCTCCCAAATGTGAACTTCCAGGCACAAAGTAGGTAGAATGGAAGAGGCTATGGGAACAGAGAGAGAAGTCCCCGGAACGAGTCAGGGATTGAAGGGGCAGAAAGGTTCTGGGTCCCAGATGTACTTGAGACCAGGCCGAAAGATAAAAGCCCTGTGATGGCCGAGCCTGCCCATGGTTAATGTGGGGCAGCCTGGGCGAGCCACGCCAGCCTCGAAGCAGCTGAGTCTTCCACACAGCGTACTCAGGGAGGCAATACTAAGATAGACGGCGCTTCCAGGACCTCTGGACACTGATCCTCTTCTTCTTCTCTCATCTTTTGCCTTCTTTCTTTATTGTGGTGAAATCTTGGTAAAATTTGCCCTGTTAATGATTTTGAAGTGTAAGGTCTGTGGCATTAAGTACATTCACATCGTTGCACTACCATTACCACCATCCATCTCCAGAACTGAAATTTCCCCAGCTGAAACCTGGCACCCATTAAACACATTCCCCAGTGCCCTCTCCCTGCAGTCCCTGGCATGGCAGAGTTTTCAGAGGGCATTTTCATGGTGAATTGTCCATTATTCTAGAACAGGGACCTCAGGCACGTGAGCTAGATGGAATGACTTCTCTAATCACCCATCTTTTTATCCAGTAAGTGCTCACTGGTAGCCAAGGCTGAAAAAGGGAATTAAAAATGAGTTCTTATATCTTGTCAGAAACTCTAATAAAATAGTGGGTAGAAAATGAGAACGTCATTTGCCTGAAGATGAAAATCCCACAGATTTTTAATGAAGTGATAGCCTCAAGCCTCTGTGACTGCACAGATCTGGTGGTGGGTGGAACCTGCCCGTGGAAGGGCAAGGCCCAGCAGTGGGCTGGCTGCGCTCTGTGCCGTGAGAGCAGGCCTAGCCCACCCTTGCCTCTCTTTTATGTTCCGCAGGTTCTCCTCATCCTGACTGCCCTACAGCCCGCCATCTTCTCAGTCTTGGCCAACGGCGGGCAGATTGCGTGTTCGCCTCCCTTTTCCTCTAAAACCAGGTCTCAAGGTGAGCACGTGAAGGCTCCTATCCCATCGTGGGATGGATGAGACGGGGAGAGTCAGGAAAGAAAGGGCCTCAGAACAGACATTAGGCCGGCCTGACTTCTGCTCAGTGTTCAGAGGGGATCTCCGGGAAATGCCAACAATGGCTTTGAGGAAAGGACGACCTCTCTGATCACACAGAAGAGAAGGGAAACCCCCCAGCTTGAGGCCAGCCCTGAGGGCCAACCCAGGAAGCCATGGGTTCAGTCCTCAGCTCCCGGGAGAGGAATGGGTGTGGTTAAAAAACAGAAGCCCATGTTGATGGAACACACAGAAGAAATGGACTTTAATGCTAGCCTCACAGCACAGAAGCAGACAGCCAAGTTCTGGTTCTGGCTCTACCATTAACCCGATGTTATTTATGACAATTTTGTATCCCTAAGTCCTAGTTTGGGGATCAACTGGAGACAGTGTTGCTCCACTCCTCTGCCAGGGCTGCTAGTAAAATACCACCTCTGTGACTCAGCATAACCTACCCTATATTTCCCCCCACACTGCAGTGATGAATTGCCACCTCCTCATCCTGGAGACCTTCCTCATGACCGTGCTGACACGAATGTACTACCGAAGGAAAGACCACAAGGTTGGGTACGAAACGTTCTCTTCTGTAGACCCGGACTTGAACCTCCAAGCCTAAGGTGGATGGCTTGGATGGTGAAAGGATGCTGTACTCATTAGAATATAAGATTTCTGTACCGTCCCTCAACCTTGACCAAACGGAAAGCATTCCGCTTGTCAACACAAGCTGGCAGATGACATTTGACTCTACAGATGAAGGTGAACAATGTGTAGGATAAAATTGTATCTTGCCTGGGGAAGGTGTTTTAAGTTTTGTAATAAACAAGATGACGTCTGAAAATGTGTAACTGGGCCCACTGCCTCTGTCCATGTCACTATTAGCCCTTCAAGGTTGTATATTGCTGGCTGGGTGTGGCAGCTCATGCCTGCTATCCCAGCACTTTGGGAGCCTGAGGCGGGAGGATCACTTGAGCCCAGGAGGTTGAGGCTGCAGTGAGCGACGGTTGTGCCGTACACTCCAGCCTGGGTGATACAGCCAGACCCTGTCTCTGGAAAAAAAAAATAAAAGAAAGTTTACTGAGCTTTCCTAAAGCAGACGAAAAGAAGAGTATATAGTATTGTGTCTGGTATAAGAAAAGGAGAACTTGGTGAGGCAAATAGTACCAGCCCAAAGTCTTGAAGAAGCCAGGAGCCTCTGGAGAACAGGCGGAAGGTGACCTTTCCCTGATAGATGTGCTACTAGAGCACCAACCCCACGGGGCCCTGGGGTCTGGGTCAGCCTCGCTTTGTGGGACAATGGCTTTTGAGTCTTCAGTGACAAGCTACAAAAGGAATTTCCTGATGCTGTGGTCATGGAGCTTGATTTCTGAGGAGAGAATCAGTGTGTGGAAGCAAAGGCACCGAGAGTCCAAGTAAAAGTCCCAAATCCATAAAATGCACCACACAGGTCAAAACACAGCATATGGCCAGGCGCGGTGGCTCACACCTGTATTCCCAGCACTTTGGGAGGCCGAGGCGGGTGGATCACCTGAGGTCAGGAATTCGAGACCAGCCTAATCAACATGGAGAAACCCCATCTCTACTAAAAACACAAAATTAGCCGGGTGTGGTGGCGCATGTCTGTAATCCCAGCTACTCGGGAGGCTGAGGCAGGAGAATCACTTGAACCCGGGAGGCAAAGGTTGCAGTGAGCCAAGATCACACCACTGCATTCCAGCCTGGGCAATGAGAGCGAAACTCCGTCTCTAAAAACAACAACAACAAAAAAAACCACAGGACACGGAACATGAGGTAAAACCACATTGCCTTTATTTGGCTAAAGAACAAAATCCAAAATAACTCAGAACAAACTAATAACAGACAGGAGAATTAGAGATTGAACCCCAAAGAGGAAAACTTCCTCGCGGACTCACACTGATGATGGGACGAACGTTCATGACGAAGCCAGCAGCCCTTTCCAAGACTCTCTTGTCTTCCAGGGATCCTCAATACAAAACAACCCAACTAATCCAGGATATATTCAAAACAGTCAGTTTTCCCCTCAAAAGGCAGGAAGGCCCACTTCAAACCTCCAGGAACACAACCCGCGCCATCCCAGTGTTCAACTTGGTGCTTCCGTTTTCTGCCTCAATCCGAGTGCTAACATAAAATCCTGGCAGACAACAATCTTTCTTCTTTAAGAAAATTAACATTTAATGGTATAATCCCAAGAACATGTTCTACTTATTTACTTGGAAAAATAGAAGCTAGGGACCACTCTTTATCCCATGGCCGTCTATTCTATGAGAGAAAACAAGAACAATCATTGTTATGACTTTGAAAAATAGAACCTTTAAAAATACTTATATTGGTGAGTTTAAAAAAATACCACCAGTTAAAAACATTGGCTCTACCATTAACCCGATGTTAATGGGGGGCTTCCTTTTTCTACCTGTATTGGTTCAACTTCTGGTGAGACTGTGTGCTGATAGAAAATCTAGAAGCTATGGCTTTTAGGGAATTAAAGAAAAGCAGCAAAATATAATTGATTTGGAAAGATTTTGGATAAGTGATCTGGAGCAGGATTAAAAAGGCAAAGAGCTCTTGAAAATAGCTACCCATAGTCAAGATAATCCAGGAAGGGAGAACGACGCCCTGTGAACCACTGTGGAAAGAACATCTAGAGATGGTCTGACCAGCTGTGCAGCCTCCAAAAAAACCACCATTACTCAGGTGCAGCCTAAGGAGTTACCAGCGATCAGAAAGTGTCAAAAGTTTTCTCAGCCTCCCTCATGTTTTTTCTCTTCTTCAGGATTTTCAACCTCCTCACATCCCTTTCTCACCCAAGCCTCAGCAAAATAATGGTCTTTGGCTCTAGCGATCAGCAATAGCTGCAACAGCACAAATGATCCCTTTCTAGTCCTCTAAAGTTTCAACCTCCATTCTTCAGTGCTTCTGAGTCTAGCATAAGAGCAAGCTTTCTGTCCAGGCCCCTGAAAGGCAGTGGCTGCGCTGGCACCTCCTCAGCTCTGGTTGCAGGGCTCTGGCCTTCTTACGTCTCACACACAGAGGCTCTACTCTAAGGCCAGCATTTCTGGCTCCGTCATCTTGGCCACACTTGGCCCATCCATGTTGGCTGCTTTCTTGTACGGGAATCAGGGAAACGGCTCCATAGCCTCAAACATTAATATCTGAAGATTTAGATCCCAGGCATTGTTGTGGTGTACACACCTCTAACCTCATTTAATTAGGCACAGATGACCAAATTACGCAACATTCCAACAGCTTCCTCTGTCTACCCATGCTTGTCCAGCACCTAAGACCACATTTACCCCAAAGCATCTAATATGCCACACCATAAAAGACTTCAGCTTCAAACAAACAGCTTCAGAAGAAACGATTAGACTGAGGTGGTAGAAACTCACCAAAAGGGGAAAGGGAGTTTCCCAAGAACATGTACGTTTGCTGGCCCTAGCAGTCTCAGAGGTCTGTCAGCCTGCAGGTCCGTCCCAAGCACAGGGCATGCCAAAAGCAGCCCACCGAGAGCAGAGGAAAAGGGCCACACATCTGGGACCCAGACTATGTATGTAGGAGGTGTGGCTCCCGTGGGGAGGGAGGAAAACCACGTTCTGGGCATCTCCCTGTCTATCCAAACACACTTGCGTAATGTGCACTCGGAGGAACCACGTCGATGGGCTTCAGCAGAGGCCCCTCCACCCCAGGGAGAGTCAGTCAGACGGAAGCGGGCAGAATTCCCAGAGCGCGAAGGCTGGCGCAGATAAGATGAGACTATATAACGCTGGGGAACACGGGAAAACACTAACTTCAACTGTTTCAAAGACAGGACTCCAGGCCAAAGCCTGTATGACCAGTTTTGACAGTAAGAACTGCGCTTCAAGAGAAGAGTTAGAAATGTCATTTTCATAGGCGATCAGGATAACAAGCGGCTTCATTCTCCCTCTCCTCTGTGACGCTCTAACTTTCTGGGTGATCCAAGTATTTTTATTTATTTATTTTTATTATTTCTTTTTATTTCTGTGTGTGTGGTTTTGTTTTGTTTTGTTTTGGAGACAGAGTCTCGCTCTGTTACACAGGCTGGAGTGCAGTGGCACCATCTCGGCTCACTGCAACCTCCGCCTCCGTTCAAGGGATTCTCCTGCCTCAGCCTTCCAAGTAGCTGGGATTACAGGTGCGCACTACCACGCCTGGCTAATTTTTGTATTTTTAGTAGAGACGGGGTTTCACCATGTTGGTCAGGCTGGTCTCAACCTCTTGGCCTCAAGTGATCCACCAGCCTCAGCCTCCCAAACTGCTGGGATGACAGGCGTGAGCCACCGCGCCTGGCCTGGGCGATCCAAGTTTTAAGAACCTAGATAGTCCTGCTGTGCAGGCAATGATTCCAGCCTCCGACCCTCAGGTGGAAGAACAGGTGTTACCAGAAAGTGTTTAAGGGGTGGACTATGAGATGCTCACAGTCCTAGCGGAGAGGCAAGAAAAAAGAAAATGTGGTTTTCTTAGCTGAAAACACTAAAACTCCACCCCCACAAGGGGTATGTATGAGTGACAGGGGGTGGGGCCTGGACAGAAGCCATTTTCCCCTGAATCTAGCCACAGGATTACTGATGGCTGATGATCTGCTAGGCCATGTAGCTAAGTAGCTAAGGAGACAGGCGGCCAGGGCTTTGAAAGTTAGATCATGCTCAACAGCAGGTGTTGGGCGTGAGGGCAGGTGTTGGGCGTGAGGGCAGGTGTTAGGCGTTGGGGCAGGTGTTGGGCGTTGGGGCAGGTGTTGGGCGTTGGGGCAGGTGTTAGGCGTGAGCGCAGGTGTTAGGCGTGAGCACAGGTGTTAGGTGTTGGGCGTGAGCGCAGGTGTTAGGCGTGAGCGCAGGTGTTAGGCGTGAGGGCAGGTGTTAGGCGTGAGGGCAGGTGTTAGGCGTGAGGGCAGGTGTTAGGCATGAGCGCAGGTGTTAGGTGTTAGCATCCTTCGATTGGAATGTTGAATCCCCCCAGGCAAGCTAACATGGAGATGGCACCACAACCACCAGGCGTGTGAGAAGTGGGGAGAAAAGGAGAAAACCTACCACGTCTTGTCCCGTGAGGGCATGCTCTGTGGCTTGCTGGAGGGCGGTGGAGGGAGGTCCCTGCCAGCCGCGGCTCTCCGAGGAAAAGAAAGACTCTGTGGAGCTCTGGTTCCAGTGAAGAATGTTCTTAAGAGGGACAGAGGTCAAGATGATGAGGCTGTTGCTTCAGAAAGGAAGGTGTTTCCTATGTTTTTGCTTCTACATTCTGTGCAAATCTCTCTATTCAATATGGCTATGACCAAAAGGGATTGACATCAAGTTCCAACGGCAGACATTTACAAAGTATCCTCTGTAAAAGGCTAGGTAACATTAATAACATTCAAATAGGAGTAGCAGGGCCAGGCACTCCTCCCAGTAGGAAACGAATCTCAACTGACTTGGCATGGGATTGAGTATTGTCCCGCTCCTCTCCTCATCCTCGTAACCCGAAAAGCGTTCCTTCCTTTGACGGTAGATGGCAGGAAAGAGACTCACAAAGGCTCCCAGAGAACCGGGTCACAGAATTTCTGAGAAGATGAACACAGCAGAAACACTGCAGCTGATGCCATGCTTCCGTCCCCGTCAGTGTCTTCATGGCCCCCATTGGGTCCAGTAAGAAACTCCTCAGGGAGTGAGACAAGTTAGGCTCAGATCTCCTTCCTACAGCCACAATGACACTGGTGACAGCAGTACGTTGAGGGGATTTGTGACTGTAACTTGGCCGTTAGCTTTTCCTTAAGGAAATCAAAATTAAGATATTTCTCCACAGATGACCCATCAGCATGGCTCATTTCGTGAAGGACTTGGCAAGCCACTTCGCTTCAGAACGGAAGGCAAATGCTATAGTGTACTGGGAAGAAAAGGCCTCTGCGTATTACACTACCTCCTTCTTCTGCCCACTCCTCGGGCAAAACATTAGTTCTACATTTGAAAGACTAATTTTAAAAAAACGTAATAAAAATGACGATTTCCCTGTTGAGATCACGTGAACACAAACAGTGAAACAAAGCCCTCGGGGAGGGTAAATGGGTGCAGAGCAGGCTTCTAAGGTGCAGCCCCTCCTTCGTGTGGGCGAGTGACGTCACTTGGAGGACAGGCTGTTCTGGTTCCCCCAGTCCAGGGTCCTCTTGCCCCAGTTGTCTTTCCTTTGTAGCTGTCCTTAGGTTTAGTGTTGGGGTCACAGTCTGGAATTCAACAGAGAGCTTTGAAGGTAATGGGACAGAGGCAGAGGAGAGGAAAGGAGGGAGGAAAACTAGTCTTCTTCATCCTCACTGATATCATAGGCTGCAGCCTTGTGCCTGGGGAGATTTGCTGGGGAACAAGGTGGGGAAGTCTTGCCAGAGAAGGGCCATCGAAAAGAGGGGGAGGGGGAGCGCTCACGAGTGGGGCTGCTGCTGGGGCTCTGCTTTGGACTGATGGCCTGCAGCATCCGGCCCTTCCCCTCTTTCAGCATGTGTTTCTGGAGAAACCGAAAGGAAGAGTCAGAGACAATACCGCAGATCCCACTGAATCGTCACTGAAGCATCTGGGACTAGGGCAGTCTATGCTGTACTACTGATTTAACGGTTCTCACCTGCTATCATTACCCGGGAAATTCCCCATTCTTCCCGAATAATCTGTTCTAGGATTATTCTAATCCATCCAAACACCTTCACAGACAGATCCTTCCTGATATCTAACCTAGGACTCACTTGCTCAATCTTTTATTTGGCTGAAAAGACTGCTACTCCTCAAAGACAGAATTCCCACCTTACCTGGGGTTCATGCTGCAGCTACTTGGAGTGGAGGCTGCTTTCTTTTTATTATTCTTTATTCTTTCCTTTCCTTCTATCTAAAATCATACCACAAATAAAAGCTGGGCAAGGCGTTTTGCTTATCTTGTCACCAGATTTCAAGGCTGACAGAGAGCTGGCAAAATTATCTAGGAGAATGTGTAACCTCTTTCTGTAAAGATTTCAAAAACCTTGCTGGGGACAGCTGAAAGATAGTTCTGCCCAGATAAGGGGACTAGACTAGATCACTCCTTAATTGTCGACGTCCCTTTCTGCTCGATGATTCTGTAATTCTTTCCACAACATGGGAGCTCCCTACACTGTCCAGTGGGGAAGAACATACCAGCGCTCCTTCCGGACCAAACATTTCCAGAAAACTTCCAATGAATTCTCGGGACTTCTCCTCCCACTTCTGAATGAGGTCAATGCTTTTTTCCTCCACCTTCTGAACAAATTCTTTGGACTTTTCCTCCACGTCTTTCACTTTCTTCTTTACTTTGTCAACCCTCTCCTGCAAGTGGTATTTCTTCTCCTAGATAAAGAAACAACTATTTTGAGAAATAATGCTCATGCCCAACTTCTCTACCATAAGAGAACAAAAAAACATGGCTCAAGCACTCAACTGACACTGTTTTCAGTCTAGAATTCTGCTTTGCTTTAATCTACCCTACACGTCATTAGCATAATAACAGATAAGATATGCTGTGGATGCACACACAAAATAGTAATGCTAATATTGTGGGCATTTGGGAATAAACTAAAAATATAGGCTATACCCAGTCACAGGCAGGTAGCCAAATAAAGTCAGAGTTTTAAAGATAAAACATAAACTTGGAACATAAACATGCCCAGCATGACCCAAACCTCATTCCAGAGGGAGATACAGAGGCAGCTAAAGATCCCTGCACAACACTGCCGAGAATAACGAATCACGGTGGATCGAGGGAGATACAGAAGCAGCTAAAGATCCCTGCACAGCACTGCCGAGAATAACGCATCACGATGGATCGAGGGAGATACAGAGGCAGCTAAAGATCCCTGCACAACACTGCCTAGAATAACGCATCACGATGGATCGAGGGAGAAAACGCTGATCTTCCGCTTCATCCGCTCATCGAACTGCGTCTCCCCTGTCGCTGGCTGACTCCATTATTTTAATGAGCTGTGTTTTCGCTTTTGCTGCTTTCGTGTTTTAAGGTCCGTTTACTCATCCGCGAAATGCTGACACTCGTTGGCCCTACCGACTTTGCTAAAGAAAAGGAAAACGGTATAAACCCTGTGGCGGAGGGGAGGGGAGTCTTTAGTCAAATGAAAAGTATCCTTGGCCAGGCACAGTGGCTCATGCCTGTAATACCAGCACCTTGGGAAGCTGAGGTGGGAGGACTGCTTGAGGCCAGGAACTCGAAAGCAGCCTCGACAACATAGCAAGACCTCATCTCTACTAAAAATAAAAATATAAAAAATTAGCTGGGTATGGTGGCCTGTGCCCATAGTCCCAGCTACTCAGGAGGCTGAGATGGAAGGATCACTTGAGCCCGGAGGTCAAGGCTGCAGTAAGCCAAGATTGTGCCACTGTACTCTGGCCTGGGTGACTGAGTGTTACTCTATCTCAAAAAAAGAAAAAGAAAAGTGCTCTCATAATTTCCAGATCATAAAGAGGAAAGGGAATATGTTTAGAATTTTTAAACACCTGATTTTTATGGGAAAAAATAAAGCTATAGTAAATAAATTAACAAGAGCTAGTGTTTGTCTGCCTAGATAAATCATATTTAGATGTAATCATTTTATCTATTCTTATAGCACAATTCACAGAGATGGGAGCAGGTGGGGGAGCATGGTAAACTGATTATGTAGGAGACATTAAAGTTAGCAGCTTTCTTCTTTTTAAATTAATTTTATTGAGGTCTAATTTACGTACAAAATGTATAGTGTCAGATAGATACGGTAGCTCATGCCTGTAATCCCAGCGCTTTGGGAGGCCAAGGGGGGCCGATCGCTTGAGGCCAGGAGTTCAAGACCAGCCTGGGAAACATGGCGAAACCCCATCTCTGCTAAAAAAAATACAAAAATTAGCCAGGCGTGGTGGCACAAGCCTGTAATCACTGCTATTCAGGAGGCTAAGGCACCAGAATCACTTGAACCCAGGAGACAGAGGCCACAGTGAGCCGAGATCATGCCACTACACTCCAGCCTGGGCAACAGAGCAAGACCCTGTCTCAAAAAGAAAGAAATACTACATATATATATGTAGTGTGTGTATATATATATATATACACATACTGCAGTATATATATAACTGTTTACAAAAAGAATGAATATATCTATACTACATACATATATATACACTACATACATATATATATGAGTTTTTTTGTTTGTTTGTTTAGAGATGGGGTCTCGCTATGCTGCCTCCAGACTGGTCTCAAACTCCTGGCCTCAAGCAGTCCTCCCGCCTCAGCCTCCCAAAGTACTGGGATTACAGGCATGAACCACCAAGCCCAGTAAAATATACAGAGTTTCTAAAAGGCAATAGTAAGCTAAGATAAACTTAAGCTTTCATCAATCAAAATTTAAAACTCAGGTCTATGCGGGGAAGTGGTGTGTCGTGTGTCACTGTCCACACGGGGAGAGGGTTCATAGGCTTAAGGAGATTTCCAAAAGATCATCCAACCAAAAAAGAAAAAGGAAGTTTAACAGACACAGTTTTCAATTTATTAACAGAAATACTGTACTATCTAAATTACTCTCTTATTTATTTTGTTGGCTGTATGGCTTTATACCAATGTGTTGGTACTAGACCGTAACGGCAGAAACTGTTTCATTCTTTTTGTAAACAGTTAACATAGTGGTAATTCATTCACTGAACTTTTGGGAGTGATCATTAGAGCTAACTGCAAAGCCAGTTCAGCTAAGATGGAGTGAGAGGCAATACGTATCCCACAGAGTCAGGGAAGTCTGGGGTGCGGTTGGAACTCACGTTGATGAAGCTGACATTGAGCTCCTTTGCCGTGTAGCCCCTCTGCAGGTTCCGCCTCGCATACACATCATAGTCCCGCACAATTCGGGTGATGATGTCTGACGTGGAGATACCTTCTGTCCTCTGTGTTGGAGCAAACATGCCTGACTCAGAAACACATACAGACAAACACTGTGAGGTTCTGGTTAGCTCAGGTATTAAGACTAAATGGAAACTGGGGGCAACGTTCCTTTCCTTTCCTCAAAAAGCAGAAGCTGTTATTACTAAATGAAATGGAGAGATACTGATATACAGAAGGAAGACTGAATGAAAGTCCAGAGGTAAAGGCAAAGAAGAGTCATAGCCCTAATATTACGAAAAATATGAGAGAGCGTTTCCTGAAATTAAGAGAGATATCAAAAGTAGATGTTTATACCAAGAATTGATGGATGTCATGAACTGATGATGAAGAATTGATGAATGCTATGCTCATCTTTACCTTTTATCCAAAATGTGGCCTGAAAGAGGATGTTGAATTTCTAATGTACACATTTTCCTCTGTAAAGTAGCAACACGGCTGAACATCTACAGCTGCCCTGAGATCCCCTAAAGTGAGGAAGCACATCAGGTCACTCACCTGCCTCCTTGATGTGCTTATAAACATCATCACTTCCAGCAGATGAATAAGGGATATCATCATGGGCTACAAAATCAATCTGAAAATAAGGAAACATCATTAAAACCCACGATAACTGCCATTCAGAAAGACCCAGTCAATGTTCTCAGGCCCAGAGAAAGGACAATAAGCAGCGGTCAGGCTACAATCTATTCACAAACCACCCAACCTAATGATTTATGGAGCTCAGCCTTTTGGTTGGACGGTGGGCTCACGGCCCTGGTAATCCCAAGGGCCATTTTTTGGGGGCTTTGGAGGGACGTCCGGGCTCACGGGGGCTTGTGAAATCCCCAAGGCCCACTTGTTTGGGGGCTTGGAGACGTCGTCACGGCCCTTGTGTAATTTCCAAAAGCACTTTGCGGGGCTTGTGAGAACGGTCGGCCGCTGTAATTCAAGGGCACCTTTTTGGGTGGAACGGGTCGCTCACGTTGCTGTAATCCCAGGCCACTTTGGGGGGGGGCTGAGGACGTCGGCTCACCGCCTGGTAATCCCCCAGGGACTTTGGGGGACGGGTCGCTCCACCCTGTAATCCACCAGTGGGGGGGCACCCTTTGGGGGGGGCTGAGACGGGTCCGCTTCAAACGGCCTGTTTTTAAAAGTCCCCAGGCAACTTTTTTGGGGCTTGAGGACGGTCGGCTCACGGCCTTAATCCCAGGGCAACTTTGGGGGCTGGAGGGGGTTCCGGGGGTCCACGCCTTGGTAAATCCTCCAGCACCTTTGGGCTGAGGGGGACGGTCGGGGGGGTCCACGCCCTTGGAATCCCCAGGCACTGCTTGGGGGCTGAGGCGGCGGCGGATCACGCCTTGTAAATTCCAGGCAACGTCTTTGCTCGGGGGGCTGAGGGCCAGGGCGGGAATCCACGCGGGAGTTTCAGGGGAGATCCCGAGGACCATCTCCTCCTTAAACCGATGTTTGGGAAAAAAAACCGCGTCTCTTTACTAAAAACATTTACAAAAAATTTAAGGCGGGCGTCGTGTTCGGTGGTGTGGGCCGCCTGAATCCCCCAGGCGTTTAACTCGGGAGGTCCTGAACGGGGAAGAGGAACTCCAACCCTGAACTGGGAAGGGGGCGGAAAGGGGTTGCAAGGTGGAGTGCGGGGATCCGCCCACTGGGGGGCCACTGAGCCTGGGGGGCAACCCAGAGCGAGACTCCGGTCTCCCAAAAAAAAAAAAAAGGAAATGGGAACAAAGGGCAAAAAACTTAGGAGGTGGGGTTATAGTTTACGTTGTTGTAACAAAGAGAAAAAAAAGGGGCCAGAGTTAGGGGGAAAATTTCCTCTAAACCCAAGGGCCGGGTGCTGCGGGTGGGGCTTCACGGGCCTGTAAATTCCCCAAAGCAACTTGGGAAGTTTGGAAGGTGGGTGGAATCACAAGTTCGCGAGGGGATCAAAACCACCAAGTGAAAAAAACCCCCCCCGTTGTCTACTAAAAAATACATAAAACTAGCCCGGGCGAGGTGTGGTTGCCTGTAGTCCAGCTACTCGGCGTGGAGGCTGGAGGTGGCGAGAAAGGCGGAACCGCGGGAGGTGGAGCTTCCGCGTGAGCCGCGATCGCGCCACGGCATTCCAGCCTCGGGCGACATTGAGCGAGACCCTGTCTCAAAAAAAATATATATATAGTAAAACAGACACGAAGAAAAACAGAAATATTCCTCTAATCCTCATACTTACTGTGTGGGC